GGCTCCCTCAGTTCCTCAGCAGCGGGTCTTCCTGTGCAGCCATCGACAGAGCCCCGAGGCGGAGGGGGACACGGCTCTGCACTCTTCTGCAGCATCGGACCATTTGGGGACGATGTTAAGAGCCTTTTCCACAGCTTTGGACGACGAGAGAGGTCCACACTTCGTGCTGAACTTTTTTCAGGATCTTTTATTTTTTTTCTACTTGAACTGTTAATAATGTTTTTCTTTCCATATAGTCTCTGTAAGCAAAACTGCGCAGATCTTCCACTTGTAGGGCCTGGGGCAGAACACATAGTGTATTTTTTTAAGGACTACTGAGAAAAGTTAACTTGAGCTTCATACTGCACACAAATTAGCTTCTCCTAAGACGTTTACGTAACGTTCTGCTCTGTAAACAACCTTCTTAGAAAAGGAAAGAACATTTTAGGAGATCAGTTCAACAACCCAAGACGCTATTAGCCATCAGTTTCTGGGGTACATGGAAATTTGTGGTACAGGTGGTACACAGACGAGGGAAAAGCCCAGGGACTCTAGCTGAAGTAAGTTCCACAGGAGATGTTTTCTATTTATTAAAGTTACAAATGCATAGAAATTATGCAGTTAGCTCCTCACAGTGGGCTGAGTTGAGACAACTATGCTATGGAGTCAGTGATGAATGAAATGATAATGTAAGCTTAATTTTGAAATTTTTTTCCTACTCCTTTTTCATGATCCAAACCAGATCAGCCACAAGACCAAACACAAATGAAGAATGTGCCTTCTTTTTGAGTGGGAAGCCTGAGCACCAGAAAACAACCCTCTCATCTCACTATTTAACATTCATAACTACAAAGACTAAAAAAAGTCTGAATAGAGTGCGTATGTACCGCTGCTGCTGGCTGACATCAGTTCGCATTCACTGTCATTACAGAACATGTTTCTGGGGAACTACTGCAGCCTTTCCCAGATTTTTAAGGTCTGCCTTTTCACTTCATATAAAAAGTTGATGCTTGTTCCTAAGCAGGAGGAAGTAAACTATGAATACTATGAAAGTTTAAATTTATTTGAGAAGAAAATTCTACGAAACAGGTTCCAAAAGAGGTAATGTTTAAAAAAACAGTTTCCAAGTTCTCTCTTATTTCTGGCTGTTTTATTTCACTTAATGGCAAATCAAATCACTTTTCTTGTGAATCAAGTGTTTTAATGTTTTAGATCAAATAATTCAAGTAATTTGAGTAATCGGGTTGATTAAATCCTCTTTTTAGTAAGCTGCATGGACCACAGCAGCTTGCAAGTCAAAGTTAATCACTGAGTAAAAGAAGTTCCAACATGCAAATTTCTTCCTCAAAGTAAATTTCAAATCAACTGTCACAGACAATTTATCTATAAAAGCCCAAACAACCAAAGTAGTTCAATATTCCTTTGCACTAACAAGGTAAGTCACCAGACTCCTAGATCAGAAAAAGACAACATATAGCAGATATGACTGCTAATTGTTGGTGTCAAAAGTAGCAAACATAATATTGTTCCACTCAGCAACTGTGTGTGCTCCCAGGGATGAGTCAAGAAACAGTTTTTCATAAACTTTTCACAGAGTTCTACAAATATTTTCTACAATAATATTTTCCACCAAGGCAGGCTTCTTCCCTTAAGGAAAGACCATATTTATTTTTTAAATGTGGGCTGTTAAGTGTGTTTATTTTCTAAAACTTACATTTCAATGACAGAGAACACTTTTCTCCTTCTTTCCTTAACTGAATTATGCAGCCATGACTGAAAGGAAAGGGCACTGTACTGGTTATTAAATTCTTACGGTTTCTCAATAAAATGCTTGTAATAACATGGGAAAACTTACACCAATATACTTAAAAGAGCTTGAACAATCCTAGCTGCTTAATACCACACCAGCTCCACTCATCTAAAATTAATATAAGTGCTGAGCATGCATCATTGCTTCACTCCTACATGCACCATTTCCATAAGATGATGTGTAGGGCTGGCCCAGTCTGCAGGAGCTTGAAGAGGGATTTCCTGGCAGTCACTAGCACTGCATGCCTGTGGCCAAACCATGCTCCACACAAAGGTGGCAAAACTCTGGCAGGGCTACACAAGTTTGGAAATACAGCGTTAATTTTCCCATGGAGCTTGAGCTATTAAGCACAGATTGTACAGATAAAGCAATTTCTGCATGGGTATCGCAGAGCCAGAAGCACTGTGTGGCTCTGCAGGGCTCATCAACCCCTAGTCAGGACCTCGCTGGACTATACAAGTCAGTCAGGCGTTAATACCTCACTCCTTGTATCCAAACGGTACAGGTTCTGTCAGTACCAAAGATATTCCAGCATCTTGCAGATTGCTTTACTTCCTATGCTTCTCAAGATGGTTGCCTATGCCAAAGCATGGTCTTACAAGCATTGGAAGGTGGTTACGCTGTACGTGATAGGCGAGATAGTATTTCTGCAGTGCAGTCTTTCAAAATTTCAATCTAGCAAGGAACCACGCAGTGAGCAGATACAGTTCAGCGTAGAGACTGGTGCACTGCTCTTCCTTTGTCATCTCAAACTTTGGAGAACATTTCCAAAAGCAGTGTTCACTAAAAACTACCATCTTATATATTTATAAACCAGAAATTAACACTGAAAGTAAAACAAAATAGAAGGAAACCTTACCCTGCAGGACAACTGATTTGAAGACTATGTAAAAAACACTGAGCAAAACTATCATATTGACAAAATACTCAGAATTCTTATAAATAAGTTTTTACTTAAGATTCAAGACGTATTTTTCCTGTGTGACTAGAAAAATCCCACTCCAAGTTTACTATTCTAACCTTGATTTGCTTTGTCATGAATTCACTTAATCAGTCCTAATACTCAATTAAAGGTCTAGGTCTGAAGAGATTTTGCAATAAATAATTTGCACAAAAGTAGAGCCCTTCCATTTATTACTAAAACCACCAAAATCTTCTGAACATTGAAGATGCACGTTTCCCTAAAGCAGACAACCGATGTAGCTAGTTTAACAGCTTTGAACTGGACTTCCTCTGTTTCTTCACCCTCCTCCCTACTGTAAAAGCACCATATCTATATTAACTATGGCTTACTTAAAATGTAATCCTCCAAGTCACCTTTAACATAGAATATACAATATCCCAATTAAATTGTGACAACTTTTATTTGATTTTTCTGATATTAGTAGGAAGACAATGCAGCTGCTTTGGTTCTTTGATTTTTATTTAACAGCAGGTTTCAGGGCTTTACTAATGAACACGGCAACATAAAGCAAATCTTAAATATACTGCATTTTATTAGGGTGAAAAGATGCTCAAAATTGTAAGCTCACTAGTGTTGTTCTTCCCCCCCCACTTTTCCAACCAGCTCATTTATAGAAAAGAGATTCTTGTTGTTAGTGGACTCTCCAAGTGACATGTTTTAGACAGACACTCCGACTTTTTCTTTAAAGTAGCAAAGATGTTCTTAAGTGATAAGACAGACTCCCAGGCCTCTTTCTTTTCTCTAAAGAAGGAAAACTCTGCCAGATTGCTTCTGGCATAAGCGCATTTGTTTTTCCTGCAATGACAATTGATAGAGAATGAAAGTACCCCCTGGGACACAGAGGGTTCAGTTTCCTTTGGCCGCGATCTTGATTGGAAGCAAACCTGAATTATTTCACTTTAAAGCAACAAATAACGAATATTTTTCTGGAATGTCAAAAACATGCACATTAACCAAACCCAAACTTCACAAGAATCCTAAAGCATAAAATTGTTCAGCCTAAAAAAAAAAAAACAAAAAAAAAAAAACAACACAAAAAAACCCCAACCAAGCACCCCACCATCCCAAACCAACCAATTTGTTACTAATTCAAGTGTAGAAATTAGCCAACAGTACCTTAAGATCCAGTGGGTGGGGTGGGAGGGATGGCACAGGGGAAGGGTATCACATAGCATTCAGTAATGCCACCTGACAAACTTACAATAGATACTCCTAAAGGGGAAAAGAAAGTATATGACCATCATGGCTATCTTAAAATCTATAGTCTGTTCTTGTTACAAAACTTCCATTACAACAATCATTACTTCTCTATCATTTTATTTCAGTTAAGTGAGATACTTCACGTTGCTGTATTCACCTGTGTGTTCCCTCTGCACTCCTACTGCTTAAACTAGCATTAATTACTAGCGTGGCTTTTCTGGGGCAAAAATCCATGTTGTTTTTCCACATATACAAATAGCAAACAATGGTTTAACTAAAGCTTTCTGGCAATTTATTAACATTATTAGGCTTGAGAAACAAGATCAAGTTTTATTCAAAATGTAAAGATGAAGATAATTTTAAAGTGTTATTGCTCACCAACAGTAAGAAGAAACAGTCATTTTCTGCCTTTTTTTCTTCCATATATTTATTTATAAATAGTGCCCTGAAAAGAATGCCGTTGTCTTTTGAGTCACCTGGAAAAGTTCTTATATTCTTAACATACCACATACTACACTCAAAATGTTATCTGTGAACGATACATAATACTGCTCCGAACTAACTCATCATTATTGTGATGAAATATCACAGACATTAATTCCCAAAACTTTTAAGGGGGTGGAAGGGGAAAAACCCACCACAGTGAAATCTTGCACAAGATGCATGCGTGTATATAAATAACCAAAGGAACAAGCCTTAGGAATAAGCGGCAAGATATAGCAAGGACAAATGCAAATGCAAAGTTTATTCCACATGTGCTACAATTAATCAATATGTTAGGGAAGTATCAAAATTTGTACTATTAACATATGGCAACAGTTTTATTGTTACAATGCATTGCAATAGATTAGTCCCACTGGAAAAGGCTTTTAAGCTGCAGACAGTGCAATTGCATTAAATCTTAATTCTTCTGGGTCACGTTCCATGAATTTCTTGCAAACTTCTATTGCATCCTAGGGAAGAAAGTAAAAAGAACAAAACAAAAAACCCACTATAAATCATACTTATTAAAAAAACTCCACAACTGAAATACAAAGATATGTTTTACACAAACTCAAAATGGAGTTTTCCAAAAAGTATGACTACATAGTGTGACAAATCCACAAAAACATAAATCACCACTGTTCAAGATTATTTACAGTACTCATATGGGCAGCATAAGACAGCAAAAGTTTTATGCACAACCTTAGTAACAATGATTTTTGTGACTGAATATTACTCTGTGCAACAGATGTGTTGCTTGTCTAACTTTCTAAATGCATCTCTGAAGTTCGCCTCTACTAGTACTGCTGCATTTAGAAATTTTTCCTTTGTCTCAAGATGAATCTAAGCTGTGTGGGGTAAACGGAAGACTATAAGTAATTCCTTCATCTAGCTTTAGGGTGCAATCTGGAGAACACATGTTATCAGTAAAACAGAAAAATAACACATACGAAAAAAGGAAAGCTTTATCCAACTTCTGCCCCTGCCCAAACAGGCACAAACTGTAAGCAAACTTTACAGACATTAGTCTGTGCTACTAAACTACAAAAAGGTTTTGTTTGGTCAGTTTTTAGTCTCTCTGGTTTCTTCTTTTTGTAAAGCTAATCCAGTCTGGATACCATAAAAGTCAGATCTATGCATTGCCTTCTCAGCTTCAACTTTGCATCATTCTGTGGGAATGACAGTTTATACTCAGTGTACTCCTTTTGAATTCCTTTCTCAACTGAACAGCTCCTGACAGAAAGAAGCACCCAAAAGAAGCCACAAAACTGGAGAAGAATGATTATTAGCAAGCATCAGAAAGGAAGTCAACTTCTGTCTAGCACGGCATTTATCAAACTAACTAAAAATAATGAAAAATTATCCTGAATTTTCAATCCGATGACTTCATCTCATGTACAGTTTGAAAGGAGCACGAGTATATTAAAACCTCAGCACAAAAGAAAAGTCAGTCTGATCTTCTGTTACAGTGAACCCTTCTGAAATTTCTTGTTATCATGTCATGATACTCTGTCATCCAGAGTTAGATCACGAGCATTCCGAAATAACTGTTTCAAAACAGAGTAAGCCTAATTTTGTCTCATAATCCCCCTTGCTCTTTTCCTTCTCCAACTGTAAATAGAGCAAGACTTTTGTATAAGTATTTTTTATAAGTTTTGTGGAAATACAGCATGAATTTTGTATAACATCATTTAAGACGGTTTTCTATTCCTACCTCTAAAAAAGAATCATCACTGGTTTCCCCATGGTTTATTGGAAATGGCTTGCGGCCATCTGTTGAAATACAAAGCAGGATTGAACAACACCTTTATAAAATTAGAAAAGCTTCATTCTTCCATTTAAAACTATATGAACAGATTTTCGGTCTTCACTTACAAAAATGCTATCTCATTTTTCATTAAAGAATAACACATGCAGCTAACTATTCCCTTGTCTCTCCTCCACTGTTGACTGCTTCAACAGGTATCAGTATGTATTCTGATAGAGTAAAAAAAAAAAACCAAAACAATTAAATGCTTTTTAATATTTTATTTTAAAAATTCAAGGCTGTAAGTTGCAACTGTTTTAGTGGTGGCATAGTGCTTCAGTTTTTCAAGCAGAGAAGAACAATTTCTACTACACTTAACGGATTTACGCAGACAGCTGTCTGTGGTCTTTGACAGCTGCGATCAGGGACTCCACAACAGAAGAGAATACCAAACCCACCAGTTTGAAGAGTCTGGCATAACTGAAATGTTAACTCTAATTTAAAATAAAAAAGCAAACAAACCCAACAACTTTAAGTATTAAGTACTTTCGCAGCATTGAAAAATGGTTGCTATCATTAATTCTTTGTTCTCCCATTTGCAATATAATAATAGTATCATTCTGAGCATTTTTAAAATAATTTATTCATAGAAATATGTTTCAGGTTACTTGTGAAGAGCTAATAGTAGGAAAACATATGCCAAGATATCCTAAGTATTTGCTAGACCAAATTCCCTTTTGGCTCTGTTCTCCCTTTCAAAGACTTTTCCCTCCCCAAAGATTCCATTGAAGATGACAATACTTCCAAAATACACTTTCCATAACTAAAAATAGATTAAATGTTAGAAAACTTTTGGATTTACATGAACAAGAGGGTGTTCATTACTGTAACAACCATGATTGATGATACAACAATGTAAAACCCTCAGAACATGCCAGGGAAACAGAACTGAATGGCCTGTACTGTTGCAAGCTCAGTTTCATTCAATTTTTTTTTTTTTTTTTTTAACATACATCTCGGAAGAATAGCATTTTAATTTCATGTGCCTATAAATAATGTGTTTTCTATGGCAAAAACGTCATAAGCATTTAACATCCATGTTCTTCCTTAGCATTTTCTGCCTGCCAAAGCCCACATGCTGGCCAGAGGGACAGAAGCCAGTGAACTAATTGAAAAACCTCCCGTTTTCCTACTTTTAAGTGTTTTTTTTTTTTTTGCGTTCTTCCACTGGTACAGAGAGAAGTTATTTTAAGAAAAAAGGAAACAGTAGTATTGGTAATCCACTATACAGTTGCGCTAAATGCCTTTTTTGTTTGTTTGTTTTTTGTTTGTTTGGGTTTTTTTTAATTTAAGCAAAAAAATCAAGTGGGTTTTATCTTGCATCATTCTCACAGAAAATAGCTAAACACAGTAACCATAGTCTGTAAGCAGAACAAGTTAACGCACAATGAAAACATAACATTCTAGCGCACAACTAGAAGAAGAGCAAGCCATCCATCATGCCTTGAAATTCAGAGTAATAAAATATTTATATTGCATCCCACAGTAGGGGCCCCACTGTTTGAGCTAGTTCAGTGACAGACATACAGCATCATAAAAATACAGAAATGCGTGCCTATTGTTCATGACTTACCACTGATAATACCCCTTAGGTCACCTTAATATTAACATAAGCACTCCTTATATACCCCTCATGCCCCAGGTTATGATTAGTTGTCACCTGTTAAGGGCATTGTTTAATTACTTGTTGATTTTCAAAAGACAAAAACGTTCTCACCATGAAATACTGCAAAAATTGTTAGGAAAGACCAGTGACTTGCAGTTTTTAGATCCTGATCCCCTTCCTAGTTTTCCGAATTGCCTGCAGCAAAACCTAGTTGCCCAGCAACATGTTTAAGATTGGAGTCATTAGAGAATATCTGAGCAGAACTTGGTGCTACACAATCTGAAGAGGGAAAAAATAGCTGTAATTCAGAAAACAGAGGCTACTGTTTTACAGTTAACTATCTGGAGACCAGAAAAAGGTCGAAGAAAAAATAACCAGCCTACAACAAACGAGTTGCAGAGTATTAGTATCTGCTAATATTCTGACTACTGTATAATGATATTTAACAATATAGCTAACATTTCTAAAGTGGTATACAGTTCATTTTATTAATTCCACAAGCAATTCAGGGACATAAGTGTAGCAGTATGTCCCTCTCTGAAACTTTGAGTGTTCATCAATTCTTTCTTGCTTCCTATCCTTGTAAATCATAAAGTAAGTTTAGAGGCAGCCTAACATTCTGTATCATTTTATCTTAATAAGAGGGAGTTGAGAGAAGGACAATTAAAGAAACAAAACAAAACCCAAAAAACCAACAATGGGAAGAAGGCTGCAATTGTTTGACAGAACCCCCCACCCTCCAGACCCTATGAGGCAGTTGAAAAGAACCTAAGCCTTACATTAAATCAAGTAATCTCTCTCAGACTTTGACAGTTAACAACATTACTATTTGTATTTGTTTCAAACAAATGGAGAGTGTGGATAAAAAGTATTCTTACCCAATTCATAGAGATGACCGCCTACATTAACTAATGCAATAAAGTGAAGATCTACTTTTTCATCTATACTTGGTGTCTGCAAGACAAAACAGAACAAAATTGTTTTCACTAAAACTCTTATCACAATATGATTAATGATAACATATCACAAAACACCTTGCCAAGAGAAATCACAAGTGAGAAGCACATTCTGGACCTATACAGAATGGCAGAAGTCACACTGGAGAACAATTTGCAATATAAAGAAGCTTTATGCAAATACACAGATCAGTAAGAATCCTTTCAGTAAAGTATCTGCAAGTATTTCCAATTATAGCTCTACATAAAAGCTTTTTTTCATTTTTGAAGTAGTAGTATCAGCTCAAATACATTAACATTAAAAATAGATAATAATTTAAATAGCAACTCCTTCACTAACCCATATCCCATAACACAGTGATGCCGGGCTGAATAGTGAACCTATAGTATTTTAAAACTGAAAATATTCACTTGGTCAAAACAATTTTTCCTCTTAAGCCACGTATAGCACAGTTAACCTGTTCCCTCTTAACAGGCAGGCAAAAGAAGCAGTTCACACATCTTAGGTGGGGAGGACAGAAAGTAACCAGACATGCCTAGAGCTCTGTTTGTCTCAGAGACTTCTGAAATTTCAAAGTGGCATCATCACTGCACACCAAGAAAGGACTGAAGTGCAGTGAAAGCTTCAAGTGACATGACATATAAAATGGCTGCAGTTGTCAAAGCTCTATCTAGCTTGACACTTTGTTGTGAACTACAGCAAGCCAAAGCTTTTTCAGAAGAAAACAGGGCATGCACAGCATGGTACTCTGCCAACACACATTCCCAGCATCCACTCAACAGTGGTTTTTGATCTTCTGAGCCAAAAGGTGCATCACCACCATTGTGTTCAATAGCAATTGATGGTCTTACTTTCTTATCAATCTGTCCAGTCCACATCTGAGCCCCCATCCACAATTTAAGACAATACTGTTTGAAGGAATGTGAAAAACCACCTCAGTTTTTCTTAAATTATCAAGAATCTGACTTTCGTGAAAATATGTCATGCAGTTTTCTTCCATCTTGTAATTACAGTTAGCCTTACGCGAATTTCTCAGAGTGCCCCAAAAATCTAACAGTTTGCTATAAACAGATCAGAGTGTAAAATGAGTTGTAGAACCTTACAGTCGCATCATGTTTTCAAGACTAGAAGTTTCCAAGACTAGATTAGAAGTTTCCTTCTTCCCGATTGTCACAACAAAAATTACTTTAAAAGACTATCTAAATTGAAGAAATGCAGCAAACAACCAGAACGATAAAGTGAAGGACAAGAAGTCACCATAAGTCCTTCAATACATCAAGAACGCCAAAGAACACAGCAGTACAGAGGAACCGCTAGCAGCTTACAGAAATTCTACATAGCAAGCTCAAAAAAACGAAAAAGAGAAAAAACAAAACAAAACCCCCACACAACCTCCCCTCAGTCTCATTTGAGGTTCATCTCCATGACTAGTTAAAATATGAAGGCCATAAATACTCTGTTTCGTCTCTTCCAGAGGGCCTACAATGGAGAAAGAGCATTCCTGGTGCCGAAGATGAGGTGGCTGTCAAAGGGATGATAGGACCCTTGCACCAGAACTCCAAGGAGCCTTTTCCCCCTATGGCGTAAGTAATTGCCTTTGACAACTTTGCTTTACAGAGGGCCAAACAGAGCCAGGGCTTACAGAAAACCAAGGAAAACAAGCAGCCTCTAGAGTCTGGCTGCCCTAGGTGTAAACTTCCAAGGATCACAGGTTTCTATAACTTCCTGAAACCGCATGAGACAGGAGCTGACAACTGAGGGGAATAACAACAAGGTGCCATTGATTGACCAGCAGTTAGAAGCATCTAAAGCATGGTGCTACAAAAGTGTGCAGGCAGGTAAAGCTGAGAGTCCTTGCCAAATCCCACATTGCCACCTAATCCTCATGTGACTTCATGGCTGTTCACTTATCAATTAAACCTACCAACTGGGAAATGTGGGCTTAAGGAATTTCAGGGTTAGGGGAAAGACTACTGCCAGTTAGTCTCACGTTAGGAAGGAAATGGCTTAACATTTAAAAGCTTGCATCTGAACAAATGCTACCTGGGCTCAAACTGACATTAACTAGAAGAGCTCAAAGTATCAGTATTTCAGAGGACTTTTGAGATGTTGAGGAGTTGGTTTTGAACACATTTAAAACAAAATGGAGTTGTCCCTTTGACCATTTTGAGGGTTGTGTTCTTTGCCAGCTTTTAATAAACACCTTTCCTCTAGAGGGACACTTGGCATGCTCGCAATGGTGAGCCAATACACAGCTAGAAGATGGATAGAGAAGCCATCAAAAAATGGAGGATTAACTTTTCATAGAGTTTACTAGAAGACAGTGCTGTTCCTATAAAGTCCTGCTGAGTATTTGTACATGCCTAATTTAAATAACGTACTTCCATTAAGTGCTATTGCCACAACCCATGAGAAATGTTGTTTTTACATTTTTAACTTCCCAACCTCATAGAAAGAATGTAAGCACCACACCATTATTAAAGTTTCTACCACATGTTCTAATGTAGTCAGTCTCCTTCCCCTGTGATTTCTTTTCATCTAATGTAGATACTAGTAAATTTGCTACCAAGTAGATCTATTAAGTTTCTTGCAAAATTAGGATTTCAATCATTTTTTGACAGACAATTACTTGCATTATCCTAAGCACAGAGAAACAATAGGGTCTGAATAGTCAAGATCACATAAAACTTTATATTACAAAAACCTGTTGCTTATGGCTTTGGCAAACAAGTACCTGGATTAAACTTTCCCAATGTGATGAATCTGATTCAAAATCCCCCCACCCCTCCTTAGGGACAAAACCCACATCCATTGCATATGTGTGCATGGACATGCACACACAGACAGAGTGAAAAGAAGCCTAGCCAGGCCAATTTCTGCTTCACTGGGAAGCTAATTGGGAAATTCTAACACTTGAACCAGAAGATTTTAAATTTCAAAGGAATAGAAAGAAGAGGGCATGTCAGCTTCAGGGAGATGTCTTTTGTGGTCTCCTTGAAAAGCTATACCTTCGTCCAAGTTTTCAGGTTCTAATAAACAGTGCATGTGAATGCTTAGAAGAACGAGAACATAGCTTTAAGAGATTTGCCTACACGTTCATCACTAGGTAGTATTTTCAGAATAATTACAGAGGATTTTCTCTTGATTACTCTTCTTGTCAAAGACCACAGTAACATAAACACCAGTCAAGTGTTGGGCTGAGCTGTTCCTTTAGATTTTTTCTCTTAGAAGCCCACTCAGTGCACAAAGGAGACAACAGATTTGAATGACCACATGTATGAACCACAAGGCAGGAGAAAGACACCGGAACTTAATAAGATGATTGTCTAATCAGAATTTGGAACTAACCTATGGGATTCAAGACTCATTTCTGAAGTCTTGCAAAGAGCTGTAGCACTGAAGTGAAGAAAATTTGTATTTCTCTCCCATCCAGAAAAGACAGGGAAAGGACAAATACCAGCATCTTGGGCAGCTTACAGAAGCCTATGTTATGGTTTCAACCTTAGTATAAGAAGTAAGTTTCAGTAGCATGGGTTAGTGGACATCACTTTTCTAATTTATATCTTCAAAAGGAAAAAAAAAAAAAACCTGAAAAATAATGACCAGTAGACTTGAAACTGATTTGAAGAGAAAAATGCAAAAAATTTAGTGGTCAAAATGATGGTTCTGAGAACATTTTCTCAGCTGTAATTTGTTCTCAAAGTACTGAGATAATGCTCAGTGATAGTAATACAGCATATCTTCATGAATATCCAGTCTCAATACGAAAGTGACAACCAAGGTTGTTGTGTCCTCTAATTTTGGATACCACATGAAAAGCACCTAAATTACTGAGTCCCAATTTTTCAGCAGATTTGACTGCCTTCTCTGCTAACCTAGACATTCAAATTAAATAATAAGCCATTGCTGACTGCTGTGAGAAGTCAATTTTAATTGATCTCTCAGGTCAATACCTGTTAGTTCATGTTCTTGAAACAGTACCACTACATTTCTTCCTCTATTCTTCACTAGCAGATTACCAATCAGTAATTTTTAAAATGGCACTTCACAAGTTTTTACGACACAAATAATAATCCTTCCTGCTCCCTTTTGCTGTACTGAGAAATTCCTTGATTTTACCTTTCGCCACTGCATGCTGCCCTCTCCTTATGAACTATAAGTCTTCTTTCCTGTTGCACTAACCTTCAGAAACTCAGTGGTACACCCCTATATCACTGTTTGCCCAATCATATCAGCTGGTCTAATATAGTATATTTCATCACTTACAGTTTATCTTACTAATGCACTTAGACCATTATCCCAATCTGAAAGTCAGTATTCAGTTTTCATGCATTTGAAATCTTTTTATCTTCAAATGTTGCTCACTTAGAACAAAACCATTCATCAAAATTGATATGCAACTGGTTTATTTTCCCCAAAACGGCATTTCTGGGACAAACACACAATTACGAAAAAAAAAAAAAAAAAAATTGGCTTGCTCTCATGGACATACTGAACAAGTCTTCACCACTTCCTGCTTAAAATTTATTTATGAAAGATTACATTATATAAACAGGTTCAATGTTACATGATGGATTTCAGGTCACTTCTTCCAACTAAATCTTGTATTTTTATTATTTCCTTACAGTTGCTCTTGAGAGAAAGGAGTGAAGCAAGAAGTCTCACAAACCAGTTCAGTAGAATGCTTTACATTACAGGTAGCAACTGGGAGAAAAAACACGGCTTGTGTTAAGAAATCGGCATCAAGTGTCTGTCAGGTTCTGGAAGAAGAGCAGTGAAGACTAATAAGGAAAAGACAATTTTGCAGAACCTTGAGGAATAAAAAGTTTCAGGTGCATCCCATGGAAAGATCATGACAAAAGTAACTTAAGTCTAAGAGAAGAAAAAACCTTAGGGATTTAACTATATAATTTCACTCACAAGGAAGTACAAGAAGCCAAAGAAAAACATATTCAAAAAAATGAAGTTTACACAACGATTCAATAAATTTTGAAATA